AGGTACTCAGTTATGAACCAGTAGCCCTTCACTTTGGAACACCCTGGCAAAGCCCTCCCCTAGCAGTGGGCCGGCGCTTTAGACGAGTATTTTGAGGATAAGCCCAAACAGCAGGATTCTAGGTGCAACCAGTTCACGGCAAGAGCATATGAAATCGCCCTACGACGCTCCAGACAACGCTGTGTACACCTGCAATTCTGCTCGCAAGGCATTGTTCACTGTTTGCGACCCTGACGAAACAGTGGTTGGGCGACACGCAAAGAATACGGATTGATCGGAGAATCGCCAAGCGCGCAACCGGCGAAAAGTAATAGATGCATATCGATTTCGCTGGCGAAAAACGCCAGGGCGGTTGAGCTAGCGTTTCGCGAAGGCGAAAAACGCCGCGGTTTGGCGAAACGCCCGTCGATTCGTATCAAAACCCTTTCGCCCAACCGCCAATCGATACATATCGAAAGCTTTTCGCAGGAGCGTTTCTTTCTAGAGGAGCGCAGGGCCACAGACTGTGAACAATGCCTAAGCCGTTGTCTTGCAGGGTTACAGTACACGATGGCACTTGCGTAACTCACGCCTTTCCTGCTTCGTTATCGATCATTTGATTGCGGAACTGTCTTTAACACATTGAACGCCGCGTGAATTGTCGGCAATACACGCGCATACTCCCGTTTCTCGCGTTTGTGTATTGCCCACAATTCACGTTTTGTGGATCGGTTTTTTCGTGGATAAGAGTGCGACTTGAACCATTCTCACCGTGTATATGTTCAGTGAGCTTTGCTTATGCTTAGTTCATGATGGCGTGAAATAAGCTGCTCATTGGAGTAATTCATTAATATTATTACAAAATAACAGTCAGTGGCGCGGTAGTTGCACTTCTTATGATAGCTCCGCATCGCTACAATGGTAGTAAGACTTCTAGTGATAATTAGTGTCAATTTGCAATACATTTGATAGTGTTTAATTCATTATGATAACAGTATTTATGTGGTCAAAAGTGACGTTTAGATCTTCTACGTTGTCCAGATCCATCTATGCAGCTAAAAGAAGTCATCATTGAATGTAAAAATGAGCGCAAAAGTAACCAGAATGTGCGTGTAAAGGGGCATGCGGCACAAAGACTCCCGTTTCGCGCGTTTGTGTATTGCACGCAATTCACGCGCGCGGAGACGCAGGAAGTAAAAACGGGAGTCGCCGTAAAAACGCCGCGGCGTTCAATGTATTAAAGACAGTATCCGCGATGAAGTGTCATGGATAGTTGCTGTTTTAAAACACTAGCTGATAAGTGAATTCACCGAAAGAAGAAAAAAGCAAGAAGAGTTCTCAAGAACACCACAAACAAAAATTGCTCCCTAACAGTCACACCGCGTTGCGGTCTCTATGCAACCCCTGGCTAAAATAGCTTTTTTAGATATCATCCAATGCAATGAAAAGAATATGAAAAGCAACAAAAATTACGGACGAAAAACTCCCGACAAAAAAATTTCAAAAACTCGGCGTCCGAGTTTAGGGTTACGGTAGCGTGCATCTTTTAGTGCGTCTCGAGCTTTTGCACTACGAAAATTGCATCACTCGTGATTTTTACGCGTTTTACCTTGCAAGATGGGTTGCATTTGACTGAATGTGCTCCTAATGAATAAAATGTAATAAAGGAGAGCAGAATTACTTATTGGCACCAGCGCGGTCAGCAAAAAGGACATGCACTTCCGATTAATGCCCGCCGCCCAACAAAGAACAACTGAGCGGCTCTCCGTCAGAGGGCATCTAGCAAGTGGGCGGTCCAACTGGGCGGGCGTTAGAACTAGAACTTTCAGCGGCTGTAGCTCGCTCCTCGCTCGCTGTGGAGTCGCGAGAGTGGGATAGTCTCTAGCTTGGGGCTGGGCTACTTGCACAAGGAAGGACGACCATGTAGCTCTTGAGGGCGGGGGTCATCTTTAAGAGCAGAGCTCACGTTCATTTGATGTTCAAATGTCCTCTTTGGATATCGTAACGCTCCTGACAAGGATGGAAGATGCGGAAATTTCGCAGCTAAAAAGTAGGAAGATAGCACTTCTCAATCGTAGAGAGGTTGCCGCCCAGACCACCTGGCTGCCACAACGCCCAACGTTCATTTCTAATGGTTGCCTGATGGTGCGGTTGTTCCGCTACTAACTCTCTCCACTTCGAATGGTGAGTGAGGTGATAAGGGAAAACAGCTGATACCAACATGTGAGAACTCGTGCGACGACCCCTTTCTTCTCCACTTGCTACCTTGTGATTACTATCTCAACCTTAGCATGACCCATCACTTTCGAACGTGGGCTCAGCCTTCAAAAAATTAGTAATCTCCCACTCAAATCAAGTTGATCTCTTGACGAACTTGCTCTTGAAACAGGAATCAAACGGACCGAATCAATTTGCTTGATACATTAAGCACTTATGCCTTACGCATCTGCGAAACGAAATGAAAAAAAACACCCCCGTTCGCCAATCCACAATTTCAGTGGTATCTCGACAATCGCGCACTTCTCACGAGCATCGCCACTTCACACACGTGATTGCCGTCGCGCTGCATATGATTGTTCCAGTGTGGTTTATCGCTCTTGTGTATACAAAGTGAGAATCACGCTCACCCTAGCGTCACGATGCCATGAAATTTCTCTATCTCACGTGATATGCTTAGACTGCATTTGCTTGAATAAACTCTAGTTCATTCATAGATCAGGCAAGGTTTACAGTGGTAAGGTGGAACGGGGGGTTCAGCAACGACGCACATTTTCTGAAGTTGGTTTATATAAACAGTAGCTGTGACATTCTAAAATGCCTGAACGTGTAATGACAATGTGATGCTCCGAAAATTTGTTCCAAAAAACTCAAAAGACAGCAAAAGTTTTTTTCTAAAATGTCTTATCTTGCGATATTTTGGGTGCGCACCTTCGTCAGGCCCAGTTGTCCCAAAATAGATCTCTTTTGAGTTTTTTGAAATAAATTTTTGGGGTTTCACATTCTTATTACACGTATTACATTACATTACATCAGATAAGAAAAGACGGCACCGTTCAACTATTACTACCCCAATTTTCCGAAAACAGGCCGGATCTTGATCGACTTTTTTCTACGGGGGCAGATTTGGCTGAAAGTTGGGTTCTAGGGGTAATTCGACCTCCTGAACACGAATATCACATCCGCTCCTCCCGAAACTGCCTGGCGCCCGCGCCACAGGCGCCGGCGCCAAAGTACCCTAGATCACCAAATCCGCTGAAAACTTGTACCCAGGGGTAGTTTGACCTCCTAAACACGAATATCACATCCGCTCAGGCTGAAACCGCCCGGCTACAGGCATCCGGCGCCAAAATGCCCTAAATCACTGGCGCCTGTGGCGCGGGCGCCAGGCACTTTCAGGCCAAGTGGATGTGATATTCGTGTTCAGGAGGTCGAATTACCCCTAGAACCCAACTTTCAGCCAAATCCGCCCCCGTAGAAAAAGTCGATCAAGATCCGGCCTGTTTTCGCAAAACTGGGGTAGTAATAGTTGAATAGTGCCGAAAAGACTCCGGGACGCACCATACTCCGAAGTCTAAATTACGTAAAATAACTCATGAAAGGCAATCTCATACTTCAACTTACTGGGGTAAGATGCCTAAACCGGCTCTTGATAAACTCCCGCATTATGGGCGTAGTATTTCAGTATGATTCGTGGCTTCCCCAGGTTGATACAAACGCTTTGTTATGTTAACATTCCGGCGTGAATCGTCTTCTTCAGACCCTTCTATGGATGTAAATCTTGACCGGGCACCCTCCCTTTAGCATAATAAAACAGTGCGCTCGGCAGCCTCTCCCACACATGGAAGGCTCCGCAGAAGGCGTTTCGCGCCGAAACGGTAGCATAATAAAGTGTCTGTACTCTTCCCGGTAGGCTCACGAATCACTCTAAAATACCCACAGATGTTGACGCGATGAGGTTCCAACTTTAAGGGAGGGGGTTTAATGGCATTGTAGGGCACACAGTCGAGCAAAGCTCTGATGATTACGACTCCCACCTTTCCCATCGCCATGACACACCTTTGCTATGCTGGTTCTTCCTTACCAAGTTTTTTTTTACTTAATTTCGCCATCTTGCAGAGGAGGTAGGTGGAGAGGGGAAGGCGTCCTGCATGCGAAGGGAAGAAGCGGGGATTAACAGCTCAAGTGAAAAAGGGGAACGAACCGTGTAAAATAAGATCTTAAACGGACTGGAAAATGGAAATGCTCGCTTTCTAAAAAACTGGCTTGACGGAGCTCTCAAAAAACATTATATGTACAAAAAATCAAATTGCAATATAGTTATTTTTTTGTCAAAGACTTTACCTGCCAACGCAATAAACAAGAAGAGTCTCCCACACATGGAATGCTCCGCAGAAGGCGTTTCGCGCCGAAACGCTAGCATAATAAAGTGTCTGTACTCTTCCCGGTAGGCTCACGAATCACTCTAAAATACCCACAGATGTTGACGCGATGAGGTTCCAACTTTAAGGGAGGGGGTTTAATGGCATTGTAGGGCACACAGTCGAGCAAAGCTCTGATGATTACGACTCCCACCTTTCCCATCGCCATGACACACCTTTGCTATGCTGGTTCTTCCTTACCAAGTTTTTTTTTACTTAATTTCGCCATCTTGCAGAGGAGGTAGGTGGAGAGGGGAAGGCGTCCTGCATGCGAAGGGAAGAAGCGGGGATTAACAGCTCAAGTGAAAAAGGGGAACGAACCGTGTAAAATAAGATCTTAAACGGACTGGAAAATGGAAATGCTCGCTTTCTAAAAAACTGGCTTGACGGAGCTCTCAAAAAACATTATATGTACAAAAAATCAAATTGCAATATAGTTATTTTTTTGTCAAAGACTTTACCTGCCAACGTAATAAACAAGAAGAGGGCGAAAGAGTGAAAGATAACGTATGGAAAGAATTACTTTTACAAAAGATTCCCTGCTCGAAAGTGTTGGTAGAGTGAAGCGTTTAGCAAATTAGTCAAATGCAATAAGAGGATAGTTCAAATTTCGAAGATGATCCCAAATACAAACTCACCTATGACACTCTTGGCGTATGACTTGTTTTTGAGCGTTGCCAGACCCAGATCGCCTATTTTGACACTTCCTGTTGTTCCAGTGATGAAAATATTGTCGCACTTCAAGTCTCGATGGATGACTGGTGGATTTCGAGAGTGTAAAAACGAAAGACCTTTCAGAATTTGACGACACCACGATTTCAACACCTACAAAGCAACCATAACAATATACGATGAACATTAAATGAAAAAAACGAAAAGAAAACGACGGGGAAACTTTATCTTACCTTAATATTGATTCTTTTGAAGCGTTTCAAATACATTTTCAGCGTTCCAGAAGTCATCAGCTCCGTTACTAGTACGATATACCTGAAAGATACCTTACTAACTTTTGCTTTCCAAGTTGCTGAAAACTTTCAACAACTCACTTTCTCTTGCCCTGACGGATCAGTGCGTTCCCAATAGTCATAGAATCGCACAATATTGGGGTGTTGGAGGTCTTTCAGCATTTCTGCCTCTTCTCGGAAACGTTGTCTCTCCGCCTAGATAACACAGATCTAGGTGATATAATTGGAAGTAAAAGTAATGTAAAAGAACTATAGTGAAATAACACCCACTCTATTGAGTTTACTTTCTTGCAGTTCGCACCAGGCCACTGCCACACCTGTCTCCGTATCAAGTCCACGATACACCGTCTTGAACGACCCACGACCAAGTTCCTCATCGAATTTGAGAAAACGACCATCTACAGCAAAAAATGAAATCAGAGACGCAACGAAATGAAAAACTCTCGTAAAACTCACTGGGACTCTTGTCGATAGGCTTTTCTTGGGCGTCAAAGTCATCATCGACCTCAAGCTGTTCCTTTGCACGCACCTCTTCATCCCTTCTCTCTTTCTCTTTTTCATCTGTTATTGCTGGCACTGCCGCTACCTTGACCTCAGAAGATAATTGTTCATTGACCGCGGGCGTAACATCTCCAGCATTTGGTGACACAATTGGCTTCGAAACATTTCTGAATACAACCGAAACATATATAAGCAGTGCAACGAAAAAGCTTTGCACTTATAGAGAAAATATGGAATTAACTGCAAGCATTTGTATTAGCTCAAAAAAAACTCATAAGAGATTTCATATGAACCTTTTCACGCTTGACTGGAGGGGACACTAAGCGTGACAACGGGTCTTATCAAAATTACACACTTCACAATCATTACAAAGATTTTTTGAACATTTCGCAAAGACATTTCCAAATCTCCCACGCTTTCAAAACAGACTGACTACACATTGATCAAAGTCCATGGGCCTTGGGGTTCAGATATGGATAGGAAATGCTGACTGATTTACCAGTGAAGAAGTTAGTGGATAAATCGCCCTAGACGTCCTCATAAGGCCCCAAGATTGAGCAAATAGTCGAAGGAACCAGACCAGCGCGACGGAGCTCAGACAAAGTTTGCCAGCACAAGATCCCAAGCGATATGATAGAAGTCGGTTTTGCACAGAAAGAAGCCACGCGTCCCACCTGTATTTACAGATCTACGGACCGCAAGCATATCTTGGCCCTGTACGGATAAGGCGCATTCCACAGGTACCTGGTTTCGGTATGATAACTTCTGTATGAAGCTGCAGTTCGCGCTCTCAGGGTGATCATGAGAATGCTGAGTTATGGATAAAAGAATGCACCTCAGACGAGCCTTGAACCTACCCCGCAGGCTTAACGGGCGAATGCGGTTCTGTTATCTCACCGAGGATGCCTCACTCTCTCACCTAGATAGCTTTTAAGCTATAACCTTACAGCACTCACCACATGTTTTACGCCATGAACCGCTATTTCAGCCCATGATTCCGAATTCCTGCGATATTTTTGGGATCGCGGCGTTGAACAACCGCCTTGCGCTGCACCGGCGACGGCTGACCGGCTCATCACGTTAAACATGTGAGTGCTGTGAGGCTAGGGAGCTAAAGGCAATAAGCTGAGGAGGCAAGAGGTGTCTTGGTGCTGCAACGAATAGTGTACTGGCCCCGAAAGCATGAGGTCCAGAAACCGAATCCAATCAGAGGTCAAGGGTATTACCCGTCAAGGGTATTAGGAACTCGACATTCCTATGGCAATCTACAATTAGCCATCTTTCGGGTTATGACAAAGAACCAGTTCCTCACTGCCGGGTTGCGAAATCGAGACACCCTTGACAGTAGCCCGCCGAATACGTCTTCAAGCACATGAAACTTTAAAATAAGAATAGCAACGATTTTTGAACATTCTTTATCAATGATAACTACTGTTTACCACCATTCGCGCTGCAAAAGTTGTAATAGTACTAACAAAGCTCGCAAAATGCTAAAAGGACAATGGTAGCACACTCAACAATATGACCAATTTTACCATCTCTAGACGGTCGAGCCTGCTCAGTACAACGGGTACGCATCGTTGTGTGAAACACATAGGGGGTCGTACTTTCCCGCCCCGCCGGGAAGGGAAGGAGTCGTGTCTTCAAGAGAAATCTGCGTTTCATAATACCCCTTCCCACTTCGATAGCACCAAAACTTTTGGGGAAAAGTAGGAAAATTTTTGCAAAATTACGGAAAAAGTGGTCGGAGATAACCTCAGAAATTTTCCCATTTCACAATGGCTATATATCCCCCCCCCGCTTCGACGGAAAACCAGGGCGCATCGTTGCTGGGGATACCCAACACGGGTCGTATTAGGTCACTGGGAGAGAGGGGGTCATATTTTGCCCGAGCGAATTCTAATCTCATAGTTGACTTCTCTTGTTTCAGGGACGCTGTAAGGGGTGGGAGGTGAGGGGTGGGTCGTACTGCTCGTTGCTGAGAAGGAGCGGGGTCGTATTTTTCTGGCGGTACCGTGGTCGACAGCATGATGAGGGGGATGAGGACCAGGAGAAGTCGACCCTCCTAAAAAAGAGGGAGGGGGGCCGTACGGGCTAAACCAAAATCCCAAATTCTAACTAGTGATATGCCCTGAGGAAAATTTTTGGGTGAAACGTGGATAGTATGGGAAATTGGTAGGCAGATGGTGGGAAAGGATTGGGGAGGGAGGGTCGTACCGAGACTCTCATTAAGGTGGGGGGGGGGTCGTACTGACACCCTCTCTCGGAGGTGGGAGTCACACCTACACAGCCACTTCACACATCACGATGCTGTACCTTGATACAACATCATCGTTGGAAGCATTAAAGTTACTAGTCATTTTTGAACCACATTAGCGTTTTTAAAGCAAATTAATACAGAAGAAAAGCGCGAACAGGAATATCCTGCTCACAATTGGGATCATTTGCCCACCTGATTCGAAACGCGTTTTTGCGGCTTAGCTTTCGCAAGGCCCATTTTCCCTTACGAAAAAGCTTATGGTATAGTTCGGCAAATAGCATGCCGTAAATATTTAATGAATGCACAATTGCCAGTTAATTGAAGTGGCGAACGACGAAAATTGTAGAATTCTTGGGCATAAATTACAAGTAGTATGGAAAACGCTTAGTTTGCCCGTGAAACAGGCGAATATAATGGTATGCGATACAGTAGCAGGCCTGTTGTCGTGCGCCATGGTATTTTGGTGAACCTTAGCGTATGAATAATGTACCGACGGCGAGAGTTGGCCGTGCCCAGCACAACAAGCCTCAGTTGGTGAGTGAAGGTAAAGAAGGATAAAAAATTATGATTTCATGGTTAGTTGCTCAACGTGGAAAGCGAACTTTTTAGCGAATTCTTCAAACGGTCGCTTCGGGCTGCAGGGAATAAACCGCGACAAACCCCACTGAGAGAGATGGGACTCGATAAAACTTTCGTAAAAGCAGAACAGTGCGACATGATATGTCTGGTAGAAGTTCTCACCAGTTTATTCTCATAGAACAGTCATGAGTTAGCGAACAATAACTAGTCTAGACCAGACTATGGAAACTTTGAACCTCGCGTCACTTGTCACACGTGCTCATCATGCGCCCCGAGACTGGTGTGGGAAATAAGCCGTATTAACTCCAAACTCGATATGCACAACACACACGGTGTGTTTCGCATTGACTTCAATCAAGGCAGAAGCGACAGATTACAACACGAAAATTTAATTAACGGAATTATTATTCAACAAAATTTCTCTCGCGAAGTAAAGTAAGCAACAAAACTGATGGCAATGAAAGTCATATCCCAAAAAAAGAAGCAACATACCTGGCACGATCAAAAATGCTCGTTTGTGTAACAACTGGCACAATAGCGTTGTTAAGAGCAGTTACTGGAGTACCAGCTTCTTTCGCAGAGGGCGGAGCAGCAACTGTGACATCTTGAGCGGTATTTTCACGATGGCGAGCACGAATCCACGGCTAAAGACGACAATTGAGAGCCTAGCAAAGATAAACTGTTGAAAAGAGCGACTGCTGTAGTTTAACGCCGCAGTAGCGCTTTGAGAGCTGAGCTATGAGCAAAAGTCAGACCTTGGACGGGACTAGAACCGCAACGTAATACAGCATGAAACATGTAAAAGAGCCTTCAGCCTCGCGGTTCACGGCCGATATCGGCTAACGGGCTCATCACGACAATGAAATGAATAACGGACTTTATGCAACAAAAAGCTATTGAGCTGAGAAGGTAAGAGCGACCCTCCCCGCTAAGACAATCGCCCGGTAATCGGGAGATGCAGGCTTGAGTCCCGTCCGAGGTCTCATTTTTGCCCCAAATTCAGCATTGACGATTTTGCGATGCTTCGTGTCCAAGTCCTAAGAAAACAGCAGTTCTCGTTGTGTAAGCACAAGAAAAGCGGGTTCGAAACATGATACTGAAATGATTTTGTTTTTTTCATATCAGCGGGTAAACCCTAATTGAACAGATGCTAAAAATTGATAAAATCTAGGGATCACCAGCAATCCAGTAATGTTAAAAACAGTAATCAACAACGCTCAATAAAGGAACACTTACTCGATTCGTGGCATTCGCATTATATGGACGGCTGAGGCGCCAGTCGCGCTGCACGGCTTCGAGCCGAGATCGCTCTTCACCTGATAGCCAGTTCGTGCCGATTCTGAAAACTAGGCATTCAGAAAAATGGAACCAATCTCGCCACGATAATTATGCAGTCACGTTCCCGTTCATCTTAGATAATGCCTTCAAAGAATGATAAAAATGTGTTCTTTGTTGTCATGAAGCCACAGATTTCTTTAAACTTGCAGCCTCGATTACTGGATAGAAGGCATGGCACTTCCGTCAAACCATAAAACCACTCAACACCGCAGTTCGGCAACAGGTGGGGCATTTTGCACTTTCGCTGCTTCACTAGTTCTGGTTTACAAGTCTCACTCTGGTGAAACCTGTGAACTCTTGTGAAGCTGGAGCAAGCTCGTCAAGCCATCATGGTAAAACCTGTCAGCTCGAGAAGCTTTATGGGTCGACACGGCGATAGAAATAGCAGAAGTAAATAATGCCCCCCCCCGGTCACCGAACAGGCACCAGCAAAAACTATGCCAGGTGTAGAGCTTCAACGTGAAAACTGTTCAACAAAGGAATCAGCAAATCAAGTATTTCACGATATGTAACTTCCAACGATTGCTGAATATGGCGGCATGCGACAGCAAGGTTTCTCGACGAGGAGATTCAACGCAAACTCGGTCCGATTTGCCACCCATTAGATTGAATACAGGAAAACGAGTTCACTTTGTTCATCCAACTTCCAAATGTTTAGCAAAGAGCATGATACAGACGCGACAGAGATAGAATTCATGGATGGAATTCGTAACATGATGGAATACCACCTATTTGTAGCTAATCAATAACAGGATCCCGTTCAGGGACGAAATGTATAGCGCACGGCAGTCACGAGATACATTGAGTGGAAAAACATGGTATTTCTAAATGTTCAGAACAACGCCATACTCCGATAAAGACTTCCTTTTTTCATTCTTCCATTTATGAATAAGAAGAATTCATTCCTTTTATTCATAAATGGAAGATGGTCCATACCAATGCGAACATAACTAGCCTAAGTAAAGGAAGTTTTAAATAGAAAATGTAGACAGAGAGATCCAACTAGTGAGCGCTAGTGATTACCCAGTTCCGCAGTCAATTCCTAAGAATGCGCCATGTACAAAATTCCATGCCCTATTCCTCTAAATCACTTTCTAAATAACTTTCGAATTCGAAATGACTGAACTTCAATTAAATAAACTGTTTCTAACAACCTAGTGAGCTTCCCATTAAACAGAAGACATAGCGGGGAAGAAGTTAACCAAAACTGCGTTTTTTTTTCTCGTGGCTGAGAAAAGTCGACCACTATTAGAAAGTTTCTAGCTCGAAAATGAGTGACTGAGAAGACCAATGGTGTGAGATGAACTCGAAAACTACGGAAGCTGACACTTTGGTTTTCTGAATCGACTTCCTATCAATACAGTGCGGAACATGACTGATTCATGATCCTGATAGCGCGTAATCAAGACGCCAAGGGACTACCGCGTCTGCGCTCTAAAACAGAGAACACGTGACCAGTATAGGCAAAATGATGCCCAGCACACCCATGAAAGAACGTATAGCCAACAAACCGAATAGCTATTAGGCTGGTGCAAAGGAAATGCAGGTTTTTCTAAGTTTCTGTGTTAAGTTTAAATCTGAAAAAACTCAGACGCCGCCCAAACTAACGCACGAAAAAGCTCGTTTCTTTGCCAACGAGAAACGAGCTCATTGAAGACAGTTTCTAAATGATCTTGGTTTCTGGAGTATTTCTCCCGCAAGATGTTGTCCAGGTGCTTGCAGTGTGATAGCCAGTAGGCGAAAGGTTTGGTGAGTATAGTGGATGACCCACAGTTTCGTAGTTCAACTTATGCAGCTTCCGCCGTATGATCAATGAGACGTGAGGGCTAACGCTGTCACGAAGTAGGTTGCCCCTTTTGTATTTATCAATGCCAGGCATACAATTCACAGCTTTTGGTGCATTTCGTCGACTTACTGACAGTACTTTTCTGCTGCGATCGTTCCAGCCGGGTTCAGGAATGCGTGGACCATACCCGCTGGTTTTCGCTTTTGGGTGATGTCTTGGAGTTTCTCTTTGCTCCAGTCACTGGGCAGATCGTCTTTTGTTATCACGAACCATCCATTTCTCATCAAAAGTCACAAATCGCTCGAGAAACGCATCGTTTTTGCGCAAGAGATGGGCCGACGATATCTCAAAACGACGATTTTTCTGACTTTCGGTCGATTCATGCAGATTCCACTCGTCAGAAACCAATCGGAAACGCATAGAATAAGCTCTCAAATATACAATATTTCGAGAAAAAGCCCCAGTTTATTTGAAAGAAAAGGTGTAGATACTAATAGAATAAAAAAAACGTGCAGTTCTCTTTGCCACAACCTTACAACACATGAACCAAAAAAGCGTTGAGTGCAACTCACCGTGCCCGAAATTCAATTGGCATGATTGTATATGACAGAAGGGAAGAATGGCTTGCCCTCTATGCTCCTTACAACGAAGTAGACGAGAATACTATCAGAACTTCAAAACAGTCTTTGTACATGACTGCAGCAGGATTTAGGCGGAAAAATGAATCCAACAGTACGTTGGGAAATGGAGTTGATAGGCTTCAAACACGAAGTTTGAAACGCCCAGTTTCGGGACTATGAAGTGACAGGAAAATATTCGCTAAGTCTAGCGAAACACAGGTAGAGACTGTCCCCAACGCTACTGCGTGACTTCATCCGCTATTCGCAATTCAAATCTGGTATTACGAGTGAATAAGGATAGGCACGCGGTGTCGAACAGCGCTCGCTTCAAAATACCAATTCAATAAAGATCGCCATGGTTCTCCTATTACGAAATAGATTCACATTTTCATGTGAAGCAAAGTACAAAGCCTCATCGACGCAACCAAGCACAGCCTGGTCATGCATTAAGTCGCTCGACTTTTCTCTCAAAAATGGAAGCACAACCATTATGATTATGATACAGTAAATTACCTGTTACACGCTTTCTATGGCTCATTACGCAGTGAATT